TTGCAGAAGTGGGGTGTGACAGGGATATAATTTTGGGGGATTTTGCAGAATTGGGGAGGGGTGACAGGGATAAAATTTTGGGGAGGGGATTTTGCAGAAGTGGGGAGTGGGGGCGTGGCAGGGATATAATTTTGGGGGGTGGATTTTGCAGAACAAGGAGCTGAAGAACCGCCTGGCCAGCTCGGAGGGGCAGCACCGGCCCAGCAGCACCGTGTCCCAGCTGGAAGCGCGGCTGGAGGAGCTGCAGGACCAGCTGCAGGCCGAGGAGAGGTACCCTGGGGATCCCCAGGTTTCAGGGGGTGCCTTCCCTGCCTGGGTGGGGGTCCCACAGTCCCCTCTGTGTCTCTTCCACAGGGAGAAGAACGTCCTGCTCTCCTCCAACCGCAAGCTGGAGAGGAAGGTGAAGGAGCTCACCATCCAGATCGACGACGAGCGGCAGAGCGTCAGCAACCAGAAGGACCAGGTAGGGTGGGGATGGGACCCTCGGAGGGGGCTCTGGGGGACCCTTCCCGGCCCTAATCCCATGGAATTCCAGCTGAGCCTGCGGGTGAAGGCCCTGAAGCGGCAGGTGGACGAGGCGGAGGAGGAGATCGAGCGCCTGGAGGGCGCGCGGAAGAAGGCGCAGCGGGAGCTGGAGGAGCAGCACGAGCTCAACGAGCAGCTGCAGAACCGCGTCAAGGCGCTGGAGAAGGAGGCCTGGTAGGGGGTCCTGGGGGGTCCAGGGAGGTCCTGGGTCCCTGACAGGGGGTCCTGGGTCCCTGACAGGGGGAGGGTTTCCCGTCCCCAGGCGCAAAGCCGCGCGCTCGGCGGTCGCCGACTCGTCGCTGCAGGACGAGCAGCTGAGCTCGGACGAGGAGTTCGACAGCGCCTACGGCCCGTCCTCCATCGCCTCCCTGCTCAACGAGCCCAACCTCCAGACCAGCTCCTGCTGACACACCAGAGCGGGGCCAGTTCCCCCTGGAGTGGGGCCAGTTCCCCCTTCGGATGCTGCTGCTGCTGCTC